TGGAGTATTGGCACCCGGGGCTCTCATAGAGAGTCCCGGGTGAGCCCCCGTGCCACGACAAGGCTCTCCACGCACGGGGGAAGAACAACCATCGTAAATAAAAACATTGATTAACATAATTTATGATTCTCTTTATTTATAAAACACATTCATACTCATATGCATGTTTTGAATGAACCGCATGTTGGAGCCAAAATGGCGGAATGATTGCGGTACTTTATAAATCTAGTGACTTTACGTGCGTGTATGCTGCAACGACATCTCACGAAATTTTGTGCAGGCTTTTTGACAAGTCGATATTTGAAAGACGTCTGTACAAAGTCGACTTATAGTCAACTCTAAAGGCCTGACTTAGCAAAGTCAACTTACAGTCGACATATCGACGTTTGTGCTGTTAGGGTTATGTCGCATTTGTATCAAATTATATTAATGATTATTATTCTTGAAAAATCTTGAATTACGCTGACAAAGCAGCTGTATATTAACTGATATTGCACTATTTGGTAACGTCACATCTTAATTATGTATATTATTTGGCAACATTGCATTTGTATCATATTACATTATCATTGTCGTTGCGAAACTTGTTAATGTCGTTGAAAAACATTCTTATATTACGCTGACAAGATCATATTAAAACTTACAAATTTGCTGACACTGCAATTTGCGGTGTCAGATTACATTAATGTGAGTGAGGCCCGATTGCACACATTAACAATCGGACACGACAGGATTTCCCGATCGGACACGGACCCGATTGCGCACAGACCCGATTGCGCACGGACCCGATTGCGCACAGACCCGATTGTGCACCGACCCGATTGCGCACAGACCCGTTTGCACACGAACAGTGGGGTATCAGCGTAGACAGTGTCCGCTTGGAATAAAAGTTTCCAAAAAGTTTAACCCTAACAAAACCATTTATTGGTGTGAGGTAGCCCTCATTTTGCGTGGAAGGCTTGTGAGCTGTAGGCAATAATGTATGCAGGCAATTGAGCTGTAGGCAATAACACATGTCGGGTCCGTGTGCAAACGGGTCCGTGCGCAATTGGGTCCGTGCGCAATCAGGTCCGTGTGCAATCGGGTCGTGCGCAACCCGGTTGGTGCGCAATCGGGTCCGTACGCAATCGGGTCGGTGTGTGAACGGGTCCTTGCGCAATCGGATCCGTGCACAATCGTGTCTGTGTCCGAGCGGGTAGTGCGCAATCGAATCTGTATCCGTTCGGGTCCGTGTCCAATCGGGTCTGTGTCCGATTAAGAAATCCTTTCGTGTCCGATTGTTAATGTGCGCAATCGGGACGCTCCCCATTAATGTCATCACTGGATGTCTCTAAAAATCTTTATGCTTCAGGTAATATTATATATAATGCATTATACAAAAACAAACGCATATTAAAACAATATATGTCAGTCTCTGTAATTATTTAAGTTATTATTATTAATATAAAACAATTAGAGACAAAGATACAAAATGTATTCTCATTAGGGGAAGTAGATGATGGCGTATATGAGGAAAAATGGTAGGTATACACTGTGAGTATACGTGTTAAGTATAGCGCGGCCTGCCGCGGGGACCGCGGCCGGTTGCGACGGTGGTGGAGACCAGCGGCAGATCGCGTCTGGAGGCGGCGGCGGCAGATCGCGCTCAGCGGCCATTGACCCCGCGTTACGTCACCACCGCGACGCGGGCGCAAGTTTCCGCACACCCTCGCTACGTAATTTTCTCGCTACATAATTTCCCGCTACATAATTTCCCGTACTGCAAATTGCGGTCATCCCCCGCGACGTCACCCACTGTGACGCCATCCCCTCGTCCAGTGACGTCATGCATTACAACGTCATCCCCCTCCCCCTGTGACGTCCCCTCTCGATTAGTGACGTCACTCCCTCCCCTTCCCGCGGACCCCCCCCCACGCGCCACGGGTACCCCCCTGCCCCTCAGAGGACCTGGAGCTCGATTCTTGAAACTATGACCCTAGATATCGCATGTTATATCGCGTGCGATATAGAAAATCATATCTTGAGGGGTGGCACCCAGTTGGACACGGCTCAATTGGACACGAACCACTCACAGCGCTTGAGACTACAAAGCTCCTAAGCACTGGTCGCTGTGATTGGTGGTGTCCAATCGAGACATGGTCAATCGGGATCACCCCTTCTTGAGTCATCTCGAATGGCGTGAGAATTGTTCGTATGCAACAAATATCAAATATTTGATATCGAGTGGGTACAACTACACGAAATGTAATGTCGTGTACGATAAATGTAGTAACAACTGCTGTTTTGGACGAAAGTGACTAAGTTATATGACGTGAATGAAGATAATATAATTAAGAATCAATATATAAAGTTAAAAAGATAGATATGGCATATCGAAATGTTATTCAGCTTCACATCGTCAATCAATTAGAAAATTGTTTGGAATACAATGAGAGGCCGCGATTCCAAATAAATGATGATCTATTTCAAATCTCAGAACAATTCGTTAAACTCTTTCGATTAAAAAAAGATACTACAATCAGACTGATAAATATTGTAGAAGAACATTCAGCAGTACCATCACGAATTTCAGCTTTGAATGTTACTGTACAGGTGAGTTTAGATGAAACATGCGGAATGAAATTGATTATAACAAAAAATGTATGCTTTTTTTGAAGGTTTTAACTGCATTACGTTTTTATGCGTCTGATAGCTATCAAAATTGCGTTGGAAGTAATGTTTATATGTGTATCAGTCAAACATCAGTCAGCCGATGTATTCATAATGTTATAAATATTCTGAACTTACCAGAAGTATTTAACACATGTGGGTGTACCAGGTATGTAAATATGAAACCGGAATTTACCAATAGATGGCCATAGCTGTCAATGTAGTTGCCGTCAGACCGCGTCATTGACGCCATTTCCTTGTTCTGACATCTGATAAAGATTTTCAATTCACAACAATACGAGTTTCATACAACAGTATAGTTTGTAATAGTGTTGAACATGTCGAATTTTGTGCCTGGAAACTACGATTTGCGAACAGCATTGACTTTCTATTACCATTTGAAGAAAACTGCTGTAGAATCGCATCGAATGCTTGTCGAAGCTTACGGTGAGCATGCTCTTGGTAAATCACAGTGCTTTGAGTGGTTTAAAAA